TTGAGGTCAACTTCTCTAAATCAGTAGTCATTTCTGAAAATGTTGCTGCATAATCTAAGCACGTTAGACAAGTAACAGAGAGGTACTGGGATGCAGGTGGACAGCTGTAATTTAAACTTTCGCTACTTGACATTTGCGAACAAACCTCATCACTCACCAGGCCACCACAAGCATCTCACAAAAATCACTGTAAGGCTGACTCCAAACATTCATTCTGCTAAGTCTTTACTGCTAAAAAGCAGTGTGTTTTTCACCTCAGGATATTTGTGAGGTACTATGCGGTAAGAACAGCAGTAACGAAGGCAAAGGGAGTCAGTTTTATTTTGAGACAAACAAGTCAAACCCAACCCCCTAGCAGAGCATGGGGTTTTTCTCAACTATTTTACTTCAGAGAAACTTTGTTTCCAGTGTATCTGTATATTTTACATGAGAATATACGTATATCCCAGTAGCGTACGTTTGTTTTCCTGAGGTGTGTTTTGTAGTGTGCAAATGTAGTGTTTTTAGTAGTGAACACAGGCCTAAGACAAGTCTTTCACTTCAGAGATGATAAAATAGCTGTACGTAATTCCTTGAGTTAATCCCACTCAGGTAAAAGAAAATATACTGCAAAATTGTATTTTAGCTGCAAGAATGACTGGAGAAGGTACTGCCTAGTTGTTGTAATTCAAGTAGTAGGCAATATGCCGTGGCGCACCAGTCACCTTAGTGAAAAATACCACTGCACTTGAGAGACGGTAGAAGTCACATGAAGTGATTTGGTTGGAGGCAAAAGGCCATTTTGGTTTTGCTTTTTTTCTTCTTCTTCTTCTCTTTTTTCAACCTGAGGAGCAAAAGTTTTCAGCGCATAACACTAAAAGACACCTGTTCCCAGACAGTAGAGACAAACTCTCAAGGACAGTGATTGCTCAAGTGTGTGATGGAGAGCAATGAAGAGAAAGACTTTAAACCACAGTTAATAATTATCAGAAATGCCCTATGAAATCCATTAACTCATCTATTTCATTGCCTTTCTTTACCTTCAAAGGATTTATTATTACATAGTACAAAATCAAGGTAGTCATGCAAAGATCTGTGTGCTTGAAGGGATTTTACTTCCATGCCACACTCTTTGAGCTCAACTTAAGCGTTCCATAAAATACTTCATACAAAGCATACAAAAATGTTCACATGAAGGATTTCAGCCTCCTCCCTTGTGAATTCATTTTATGCTGCACTGATTGTGCTTTATCTCATGCCTTATACACTGCCTGTTCCCATTCAACATACGCTGCTCAGCATGCTGTAGAGTACACAAATACTCCAGCCTCAACCCTGACGGTTGATAAGAAACAAGGTGTAGAGAAACTGGTGAACTTGTGTAAGTGAAAGCCAAAAAGTACAGTTACCAGACCAAGAGGGTTAGGGTTGCCTCTGTCTGTATTGCCTCAGCAGGTCAGAGATTATGAGAATGACTGCCCATGCTCCATGAATGTTTTGGGGGCTTGGAGAAGGAGGAGTATTTGTTTTTTAAGAGTCTAAACCAGGATGCATCACTGGTAAATTTGCTCCATGAATGTGAACTGCTTTTGCAAGAGTCATGTTTTCCTTTGCTAATGTTTCCTGGCC